ATGATGGGTATTTATACCCCCTCTCAATATCCCTCCTACTTAAAATTCCTTTACTACCCTTAATGATCCCTTTTCTATTCAAACTTGTATTTTGACTTTCCTTAAATACCATGGACTTTAAAAATTATCTTTTCATAAAATAATATGCCCCAATATTTCCAAATCATTAAATAAAATATTTTCAAGATTATTGAATAATTAAAAATATATTTTTAATTAAAATAATTCTTTTTAAATTAATGAAAAACCCTAAATAATTCATTTCGAATTATTTAAATATTTTAAGAAATGCATATTTAAATTAAAAATACGTATAAAAATACGGGGTATTACACTTTGCCACTAAACCAAGCTTTGCTTGGTACCAAAACTTATTTGTTAACTTGAGTTTTGTCCTCATAAAAAATACGGCTATTTCACCAAATGTTAATGAGCAATTTCAAAATTCACCAAATGCCACTGACAAAGAGTGCATTGACACCCCGTGCCATTAGTGAGGTCTGCACGTTAGTTGGTCGTTACTGCAAAAATACCATTTTGCCCTTTAATGTGTTTAATGGCACCATAAAGCACACTGACACTCTGATCCGACCTATTCAATTAATGTTCTTCATCAACCTTTTTCTTCCTCAACCTCTCCCCTGTTCTTCGAGGTTTCACCATCATTAAAACCTTCAAATCTATGAACAAGGAAGAAGCGTACTGTAACAGCTGAATGACCCCCGCAACAAGATTCAAGCTTTAGCTGTTGTTGAATCTAGGCGAACAAAAAAGCGATCACAAGTAGTGGAAGAAGTAGAAGGAAATTGCGAGTGCTGAAATTTTTTTTGAGGCCTTGGAGATAGCACGCAAGGTAATAATCTTTCTATCGATCTTTATTTCGCGTACTGATTCCGGATTATTTTTTTTTGCGAAAATTGAGTTAGGGTTAGGTTTTTCCCAAATGATCAGTTTAATGCGCTTATTTGACTTGACCTTTGTGAATTATTGTTAAAAATCATGTTAAAAACCTCATTTGTGGGTTAGAATTTGGCAATATGTGTATTGGTATGTTAGGGTTTGTGTTTTTCACAATATTTGAGTCCTTGAAATGAAATTTTGCGAGTTGATTAGGATATTTGGCTTGGTATGTGTTTGTTGATATGAATGATGTGTGTTGATGTTCAGTAAAGTAATATGCCATTTTTTGTTGATAAGATGAGTATAGTGTGGCTTGATGTCCATTACAAAGATCAGGGCTTTGATGTGATGGTTGATGATACTGACAGAGCTAGTCTAATGGATTTGTATGAGTTCATGTTTGAGGATTATGTCAAGCAAAATGTGATCCTCCCTAAATACTTTAGTTTGTCTTTACTGCCACCTAGAACTAACAGAAAGTTTAAGTTATGTGGGGATAGTCAAATGATGAAAATGTGGGAGTGGAATGAGGGTAGGGAAACAATAGAAGTATTCTTAGAGGAAAAGGAAAGTCCTAGTTTGGTGTTTAAGGATGCTGAAGCAAGTTGGCAAAAAAAGTTTAAGGCAATGGCTGATGAGAAGGAAAGAATGGATCAGGAAAAGGCCTAGAGGATGGCTGGAGAAGAGGATGATGAGAGGGAGCTTATGGAACAAAAACATTTTAAAGTTGCAATTAAGGTTCCTATTGTTAATGCTGATGACTCAAATGTTGAGTATGTAAGAGTGTTTCACACTCCAGTAGCTAATGAGGTTTTCCCTAGGGCATCTCAACCTGAGCCTGAACAAAGTAATCAGTCCTCAACTCCATTTAAACACTCTCAACTAACTTCTCCTGTGAACCAGCTCAAAACCACATGTTCTAGGAAGAAAATGACTCCCAGGAAAAAGAAAACCAGTACACCAAAAAAAAAGGCCAACTCAAAGATTCCAACCTTCTCCACAACCACAAACATCCCAAACTTCTCCTCAACCACAAACATCCCAACCTTCTCCTCAACCACAAACATCCTAACCTTCTCCTCAACCATAAACATCCCAACCTTCTCCTCAACCACAAACATCCCAACCTTCTGCTAAACCAACACCAGTTTCTCCTCAACCACAAACATCACCAGTTTCATCTCAACCCCAACCTCCACCATCTGCAGCAGCAAAAAAGGGAGGTAGATCAAGACTTGAGGGATTTAGGTCAAAAAAGAGTGCTGCAAAAAAGGTTAATGCTAAGGGGCAAGGTGTTACTTTAAGGAGATAAAAAAGGAACAGAGCACCTACTGTTGATTTATTGAGGAGAGGTCTGATGAGTCTGGTAGTGATGGTGATAGTGAAGATGATGATTACATACAATCTGGCAGTGAAGAAGATGATGATGAGGAAAATATTAGTGACTTCATAGAGGATGAGACAAAAATAGATTGCCTTCATGATGACATTCCTGACAAGCAATTTCAGGATTACATTGATGGTAGTTTAACCATGGATAAGACCTATAAGAATGGTAAAATTTGGAGCTATCAAGAGTTTGGATCCATCAGATTAGAGCCATGGTTGATATTTGGAGACAGATAATTATTTCTTGATGTGTTTAAAGACTATTGTGTACAGGAAGGATTTGGTGTTTATGTTGAAAAGAGTGACTGAGCAAGATTGATAGCAAGGTGTGTTATAGATACATGCAACTGGAGGATTCATGGCTCCATAATGACAGACAAGGTTAGATGGGCAATCAAGACTTTGACAGGGGAGCATAGAAGTTGTGGGAGGTTGGATATAAACCCAGTAGTAAGTTTTGAGTGGCTGTGTAGACATCTGCAATCAGACATTTAAGCCAATCTTAACATTCCAGTTGAGTCTTTACAGAGACTCTGTATGGAAAGGTTTAGGATTCAAGTCAAGAAAAGGTTGTTGTACAAGGTCAGGGCAATGTCCAAGGAGATCATTCATGGTGGTTTTGGAGAGGCATACTCACTGTTGCCTAGGTATGCTGAAATGGTGAAAGAGACTAACCCAGGTAGTTATGCTCTTGTGACATGGGGTGAACCTACTGCAAATGAGCCTCCAAGATTCAAGGTTTGTTTTTTCTTTTGCTGCCCAAGTTAGGGGATTCTTGAGAGGCTATAGACCTATTATTGGCATTGATGAAGCCCACCTAAGTGGACATTTCAAGGGAATCTTGTGAACTGCACTTGGGATTGATGGGAACAATGAGATTTTTCTCATTGCCTATGGAGTGGTTGGTTATGAAAGTATTGACAACTGGGGTTATTTTCTGAGGAATTTGAAATTCCTTTTTGAGAAGGAAGGGTGTATAAGAGATTGGACCTTCATCTCTGACAGAATGAAGGTAAGCCACCTGGAAACTACTTTATTACATGTGATTTACTTTTTTTTTTTTTTTGTTCAAATCTCAGCCATTAAACTATTTGCAGGTTGTTGACACAACAATTTATGAAACATTCCCCAGAGCAACTAGAAGAGTATGTTGCCAACACTTATACATGAATTGCAAGACCAATGGATTCAGTGGTTCAGCCTTTCATAAGCTTTTTTGGATAGCATTTGATGTATACAATAAGTATGTGTTCAATAAAGAAATGCGGAAGATACATGAGTATAATCCTAAGGCTGTTGAATACTTAGAGAGCTGCACTGAGATCTGGTCAAGACATAAGTTTGCTCATGCACTCTGTTTTGATCATAACACAACAAATTTCGTAGAGTCTTTCAACTCATGCACAAAGCCCTACAGAGATCTACCTGTTGTGAAAATACTTGAAGGTATTCACTTCCACTCAATAAATGTTGTAACAACTTGCATTAACACAAGTGCCCTGTTTCTTTTTTTTTTTTTTTTAAAAAAAATTTGCATACTGTTTTGAAGCTATAAGGCAATTCAATGGGGCATGAAGAGGATTGACTCAAGGTTTGACAAAGCCCTACGCATTGGGGATATGGAGTTGGCTGAATATGCAGCCAAGATTCTACAAACAAGATCAGATGAGTCTAGGTTGTGCTATGCAATCCCATGTGGTGGTGATGAGTTTGAGGTGAGAGACCAACATGTGCATTTTCCCATCAAGCTGACGGCACTTGTGGTTGTGGGAAGTGGCAACATTCAGGAATCACATGTATTTTTTGAACATTAACAGTGTAGTGTGTGATGTGTTGTCTAGTTTCTTTTGACGTATCCTTGTAATTTAAACAGGAAGCAATCTTTTAGGCTCATGATTTGAACAGGATGCTATTATATACTATGCTTAAATGAAAGTGTATTTAAATGCGCTTATGATTTAATTTCCCGCTTTATTAAATTTCATTGGAATTACAATAGTTCACTTCATCATTACAATCACCACTATTACACACATCAGTACCCCTAAGTTCATAATACAATCGAGAACTTTTGCTGCTTGATTTTCTTCTTCAATTGTTTCAATTCTTCATGCACATTGCTTTGTCTTGAGACATCCCTTACATAACAACTTTCCCTGCTCTAACTTCCCCTACTCTGACCTTCATGCATCTATTTGAAGCTATCACATGAATCTCACTTATAATACAGCCTTTGTGGATTAGATATTGACTCCGAACTTCTAATTGCATATTTTCTACCACAATTGCAAAATTTGTTTGGAACTTTGACATATGCATACTCATGTTGTGAGGATGATGTGTTTGATATGAAGCTCATGATTATGCAAAAAGGTCTGCTGCGTGTGTTTTAGTGTACTATTTACATAACAAATTGGTGCAACGGCTAGATTTGCCCAAAAAATTTCAAAAAAGGTCAAACAAACTAGCCGTTACAATGAGTATGTTTAGAGGTATTTTGTGTAAAAATTTACAAAAGTAATGACATTTGGTGAAATATTTAAACTTCTCAGTGACATTTCATGAAATAAGAATCGCAGTAACGGTCAACTAACGTCCAGACCTCATTAATGGCACGGGGTGTCAATGCGCTGTTTGTCAAGGTTGATGGCATTTGGTGAATTTTGAAATTATCCTGTGGTGAAATAGCCGTAAAAAATAATTCGCAAGCGTATTAACTCATTTCCACCCCTAGTTCGAAGAACATTACATTTGCAAACAAACACGAAACCTCGAGAATAAATGGCGAAATTGCAGAAGCCATGAATTACTCCTACAACTCAAACTTCTTACGCTTGCTTTCCTACACAAAGCAGCTAACATCCCACGTTAATCAAGGTCGCCATAACCAAGCACTCTCTCTCTTCTACCACATTCACTCTGCATTGGCTCTTCCTCTTGACCCTTATGTCTTCCCGCTCACTCTCAAATCCTGCTCAGCCCTCCATTGCCCACTTCTTGGGACCTCCATTCATGCCCACTTAACCAAATCTTCTCTACTACCGAACCCATTTGTAGCTTCTGCTCTTGTTGATTTTTATGGGAAATGTGTTTCCTTGGTTTCTGCACGCCAACTGTTCGACGAAATTCCCCTTAGAAATGATGTTGTATGGAATGTAATGATTTCACTTTATGCACATTCTAATAATGTTTCTCTGGCTTTAGGGTTGTTTGAATCTATGGATGTTGCTCCTAATATTTCGACGTTTAATTCGATTATCGATGGTTTGTCGAGGTTAGATGATGGGTGTTACATGGCTCTTGCGTTTTACAGAAGAATGCAGGATTTTGGGTTGAGGGCGAATTTTATTACTGCATTGGCTTTGCTTTCTGCTTGTGCTGGTGGTGGGGCTTTAAAGTTGATTAGAGAGATTCATGGGTATAGTATGCGGAACAATATTGATCCGAATCCACAGCTTAGGAGTTGTCTTGTTGAAGCGTATGGGCGATGTGGATGTGCTGATTATGCTTATTGCATATTCTGTAGTATGAAGGAGAGAGAGCGAGACGTAGTGGCATGGAGTAGCTTGATCTCAGCTTATGCATTGCACGGCGAGGCAAGAAAAGCGTTGGACATTTTTCATGAAATGGAAGACGCGAAAGTGAAGCCTGATGGGATTACTTTGTTGGGCGTACTGAAAGCTTGTAGTCATGCAGGATTGGCTGATGAAGCAAAGGGTTACATTTCAAGGATGCAAGAGGTTTATGGTGTGGAAATAACCAGTGATCATTACTCTTGTTTGGTGGATGTACTAAGTAGGGCAGGGAAATTATATGAAGCTTACGACGTCTTGACCAAAATGCCAGTTAAGGCAACTGCAAAAGCTTGGGGTGCGCTGTTAGGAGCTTGCAGAACTTATGGAGAGGTGGACCTTGCAGAGGGTGCTGGAAGAGCATTGTTTGAGATAGAACCTAATAATGCTGCTAATTATGTGCTGTTAGCTAGAATTTATGCAAGCGCGGGAAGATATGAAGAAGCTAATAAGTTGAGAATTGAAATGAAAGAAAGGCGAGTGAAGATAGCACCAGGTAGCAGTTGGGTGTAGTTGGACAGGAACTATTCCGTCCCTTCAGTTAAGCAGGTACACAATGGAAACAATGGAAATTCAATGGATTCCCAAGTTGCCTGCAACTGGTAGTGTCTATTGTGATTCTACTATAATGCTTCCAATCCTGTGTACTAAAATTGGTCTGTCCTTGAGAATATTTTAACAAGAATTGAGCAGCAAGGCCAACAATCCAGACCTCAGACGTATGTCATCGTATATGCCGGCTTATGTTTCCTGAATTTGATCCATTGAACAGAAACATTTTCGGGTCAGATAATACGAAAATATATAGTGAATATTCACTAGGACCAAAATTGCTGTTGGACGCCTCTTTGTTTTGCATTTCACATCACTATTGTCATTGCTCGTGCACTAATCCTGATGGTTTTTTGTATAGACTTCATTTTATAGATTAATGGATATTATTGGTGGAAGCGATGAGAAAATGAGCAAAATAAGCATGAACACAAAAGGAAAGATAAGAAAATGGTTGTATGATGTGTATCCTGGTGAAGTGATAAATAGAGATTTTGGATTGATAAATTACTCCTCTCAATCTTCTTTGCTTAAGTTTAATTATTATCTCAAAACTAATTAAAGATAAGTTATGATAAAGCCATAAGGTGTTTATTTCTAACCTATCAATTTATCATGGCAAAGTTATTAATAAACCTTTTTTATTTTTTGGTGTATGTAAATGAGACAACATTTACAGATTATAAATAGGGAGAGGGATTTGAACTGGTGAATTACCACATACGGGTCTTCAATCTTTGCTACTAGGCCAAGACTTTATTGATAACTGTACACATATTCTATTCATCTGATTTTTACTCATCTAAACTTACATGAACTTATTAGATTTTATTAAAATTTATTCTATTTTAGTTTGTAATTTGAAATTCGATAATTTCTTATTGGAACTTATTTTGTTTGAACTTATGAAAACTAAAATAAATGAAAATAGCATAAATAGAATAGTGTGTAAGTGAAATTAAAAAGGTATCTCAACCATTAGATCAATATAAAACTCAACGATGGATCTATCACAACCTTGAATGTGACATATTGTTGATATTGTTACTAGTAACGCCGGATCCTTTTGGGATTTAGTCTTTTTGTCGTTTTTGTAGAATGTACGTTCCTCCATTAATCCCTGAAGGATGATTACTGCAGTAACTTCCATAGGGTGAAGTTATGCTACTGAAAGAGCTTGTTTATACTCAACATGAATTGACTGATGAATTTTCAGAGCTGTAATATAGAGATGAAGATGAATATTTGATTGTAATAAAACGGTACCCAATGAAACTTTACTCCGAAATCAGTTGATCCTTTCTGCATTGAACGTGTCATTTTGCTCAGAATGTGAACACTAATTGCTGTTTCACGGAGTAGAGCGTACAATGCTTCTGCTGAAGGAGTAGAATCCCATTAGGAAGTCCCTTCTGCAGTCGTGCACCAGGAGATGTTCACTAGACAGGCATTTGAAACAGCTAAGGCTAGCCATACGTGCATAATTTCTCGGGGATATTGAGGAGTTTGGAATCAGCACCACCACAGCTGTTCTCAATCATTTTCAACTGAATGACTGATGCAAAAGCTCAGAATTCTTAGCATCAAAAATTACTGCAGACGAATATTTTCAATCATAGATTCTTTTGATCCTGGCAAGACAAGCCAGACTTCATTGTCGCATGTGTTTACAGGCTGCAATAAGCAGAAATTTATTTGAATAGATATACTTTTGGCTCAAATACTCAATTTTTGTACAGGCCAAATTTGTAATGCCTTGGATAAGGGCTATCCAATATCTATTCACGGTAGAATTTTAAGTTTGATAAGCTCGAATAAGTTCTCGAGCCAGTGAATCCCTTCATCTCTGAAAGAAGCCAAATAGTCTCCAGAGGACTGTCAGGCTAATTACCGTTCTGTTCTGACTTCCTGTACTATTTGTCTATTTGACTCATATTTGGTATTGCAATGTTTTAGAGTTAAAATACGAAACTTCAAAAGAGAGGAATTTCAATGAAACTGCTTTGACTAACTTTGATCAAGCATAGCTTCTTTCATACATTGTTTAGTACAATTACATTACCACTACCCGCAAAGAGGGTTCAGTTCAACTGGTAGAAAACAAACAAGAACAGTCAAACAGCTAAAAGCCAGTCTTCAGCTTGTCAACTTGTTCTAGGTACAATAGGTGTCCTACTCTGCTTATTATGAAGACAGTGAAAAGTGAATGGAAAGGGTGCATAATATATGCGTGTGTCAAGACTGATAAACCTCAGGAAGCTGAAGCCCTACACTGGCAGCTGATTTTCCGAGTATCCTTTTCATCTCATCTGATCTGTCCACAGCAAAGTTGTAGGAAAATAGGAGCTCCTAAAAGAAAAATGAGAAGATCGTGATAAAATTAGAAGATCAGTGCACGAATTGGTGTACTAGTATATTTTGTAGCAAATAAGCAAAAGAAAAAAAAGGCAATAATAATTTATCAAGTATGGATGATGTGTAACGGCACATAAGCAGCCATAGGTCCTAGAACAATAGAGCTGAACATATTCACCAATATCAACACAGTAAGATTTCAGATGAGATGCATAACTGATATCCACAAAATTCGTAGATACTGTTCTTCGATCACTCATCTAACATCAAATAATCTGTAGATAGTATCACTTCCTTTCCCCCATACCATAGCAACATTGAATCAGGACAACAGTTCATTTATACATACTTCCACATATTATTCAGAAAGAACAATGTACTGAGCTCCCAAGTCATTTTTTCCCCGGATCAGGCTTCATTTGACTAGCTGGCCAAATAGAATTTTAAACATATATAGATAGCTTATAAATAGCATCAGAAAATTAAATGTGAAAGGTCTACTCAAGTTTTATGCAGGATATCTGATATAGAAACCAACCCTCTAGCTGAGATTTATAAGACCCCAGAGAAAAGAAAACATCCAAAGCTTGTATCAATTCTTTGTAAGTTTTTAAGATTTTTTTATTTTTTTTAAAAAAAAAACAGCTGAAATTACATTAATTAAACTGAGTTTACAACAAACAAAAGGACAGTAAGTAACATAAGTTACTATTAGCCCTTATACAATATCAATTAAAGTCATTAACGATATTTACCTTTTAGCTATTACAACGAGTGAGGACAACGCATATAAGGCTTACCAATATTAATAAGTCTTGTGTAAGGCGGATGTACATTAATTTTATTGTAAGACCATCAGTTTAAGGGTAAGTTTAGCTATTTTTATAGTAACTTTAACCCCTTAAAGGATAACTTTTAATTTGTCGTTAGTTTGAATTTTATTTTAATGTGTAATTTCTTATAGATTCATATTTACATACTATAAAGGCTAATATGATTAATCTAATACATTATAAGATTTTTGTAAGATAAAATTTATCATTAGAAAAATAATAACTTTTGAAGGATAAAGGGTTACTTTAAATACTTTAAAGACAACTTTAATACGTCTTACCATAAATTAACGTACACCCGCCTTTTTAGAGAATTTGTGTACCAATATACATTTAAACATGCGATGAGATTATTGATAGAACGAGGGAAGTTGGTGATGATGTTTCGTGTTATGCAAGGTATTTTCTAACATACAATTAAAAGTCTATGAATGTTGCTGAAATGACGGAGACAACCCAAAATCAGTATGTCTTACCCTAAGGGACCCCAATAATTCAAATGGATAAAATCCTCTTTATACATGTCAATCACATTTCTTTGTGATTTGACAAAACCATATCTTATACTCCCTCCGTCCCATAATATAGTTCCTATTGTGTTTTTTTTCACGGTATTTAAGAAATGGGAGGAGAAGTGGAAAAGAACTAGACAAAAGTACAAGGCAAGTGGATAATTTAAGGGAAAAAAGGTTAAAAGTTCAATTATAGACAAAAGTTTGAGAGAGAAAGTGAAAAAAGTACAATGCAAGTTGTTTGGGGGTTTTTTATGTGTCCTACGGGAGATTTACAATTTCCTAGTATGCTCATTCCTTTGCCTGTACCTGCACAAGTAACGGAAAACTCCGGCTGGGGCTGGGATGTTCCGCCTCCGAAGATTAAGTTAGTATCTTTCTTAATGAGGAAATAAGAACAATAAATGCTTCTCGATTTGAGAGCGTTAGCAAGGGGATTTGTGTTTGGTTTTTGGTTGGAAAATGATTCGATCCCCATAAATGAGTTCTTCCCTTACTATTTATAGTAGGGGAGAGCTGTACCTCAATTTAGGGTACAATGACACGTGTCGCAAAGGGATTGGGCCTTTGCTGACCGTTGCAAACTTCACACGTGGCAAGCCTTTATAGGGCCACGTGTCTTAGGGGTATTTTTACCCTAAACATCTGCCCCTCACAGGTGTGACGTGGCATGTCCGCGTGTCACCTGTGACAAGTGTCAGACGCCTGGGAGGAGACGGTTCGTCTCTTTCCCTCCCATTTTTGATTTTTTTCAAATTGCTAGGGCAGAAGGAACCGTTTCGCCTTCTGCTCCTCTCCTATAAATAGGAGGTATGCCCTCTCTCCTCCACACTTTACATTATTTTCAAAAAATTTCTTGAGAGCTCTGATACCGGCTGCTAATTTCCTTCAAGTTTTCTTGCATCCGGCTTTGTGAGATCAAGTACATCCGGCTACCGGTTGGGTAATTTCTCTGCAATTTCTAAGGTGCCGGATCCCTTTATTCATTCTCTTTTACTTCTTTCTTTTGAGGATTTGTTGAATGTTTTCCCCATCCGGGTGGTAAGCCGCCTGGGGAGTCCTAGACCCATTTCCAAGTTTAGACTACAATACCCTTTCTTTTTCTTTCAAATAACAAGGCTTTCAAAGCACCCCCATCCGGTATTACACCGCCTGGGTATTTGTTTTGTCAAGAAATGATTTCAAAAACCCCAACCGGTTTTAAAGCCGGTTGGGTCATCATCCTTGGTCTTTTCATGACCTTTTCAAATTTTAAAATGCGTTCAATGCACCCCCATCTGGTGACTCACCGTCTGGGTATTATTTGAACAGGCCTTTTTAAAACAGGTCTTACTATACCCTCATCCGGTATTTTACCGTTTGGGGTATGGTTGACTTTTAATGTTGCTTGCAGCACCTATATCCGGCATTTTTACCGGATGGGGTATCTCTGACCCAACTTCCTTGATATCGTCTGGGGTATCATGGAGTGAGCCTTACAATTCTTTTTACTATTTTTACCAATGCTTATCACAACCCCCCCATCCGGTTTTATACCGTTTGGGGGTATTTCTAACCTAGCTCATTGAATACCGTCTGGAGTATTATTCATTGAACTTTACAATTTATCTAGTTAAGTTTACAAAAATGCAAGTCATAACCCCCCCCATCCGGTCCCATACTGTCTAGGGTACTTCTGACCTAGCTCGCTGAATACCGCCTA